CAGGAGTGAATATTTTTACTTTAACAGAACGCTGACTCTAAGCTTCAAATCTGGCAGGGTACGAGTTCGATTCCTGGTACTTGCAGTCTAAAAAAATTATTTACGAATAATTAAATACAAAAACTATTTACAAGATTACATATTGGAAACAGCTGTAAGGTCAGCCAAAAATTTAATTAATTAAAATATTATAAAAATCATTTCTGTTGTTGTAGCTGAATTACTGTTACGAAACTTCTCTATAAAATATTTTATACTATTTAACAAAAATACAAATTTTCACAAAAAAAATTAAGTGAAATAAAAGTAAAAAATCTAATATGATTTCCATATGCAATATAAAAATAATAACATAATAATCTTTATATTAAAGTATATTTAAAATAAATCATTTTATATTAAACTGATTATTAACGCCCGTTTTAACAAAATAAACTTAATTCTAAGTATAAACTATTAAATTTATAACAGTAGTGAATTGTAACAACAAAATTTTTATTTCATTTTTAATGAATTAAATATTTGGGTGACTAAACAGTTATTTCGAGTACTGCCAATTACTCATCATCTTAGGTCTTGAAATAATTTATAATATTTAATTATTCGTAAATATTATTTTTAAACTTCAAGAACCAAGGGCTGAACTCTAACCTTCACAAATTTGAAAGACAGAATCAGTATCCATTAGGGAACTGATCTAAAGCCGTACTTGACTTGTATGTTCGAGCTTAGAGTTATGTTAATTTGCTGTGAAACTTCATTAACACATTCACTTGCTGTATTATATTAAATCGAAATCATAAACCATCAGCTATCAAATAATTGAATTAATTAATTATATTTTAATTAAGTTCTTTAGGTAAATGTCTATACCACCCTTTTTTAGAGGCATTATTGCATGATTTTATTGCCTTGATCTTATAAATCATTATGTATTTTAAAATAAATGTATTGTAAAGATATATAAATATATTATAAAATATAATTTAAAGTTTATTTAAAAAAAATCTAAAATAATTATAATTTTTGATTACTATACCATAAAATGATTTTATTTATCTTTTTCTTGTCATTTATCTATTATCTTTATAAATAAAAATAAATATAATTTTATAATTTTATTTTAAAATATTTATTTGTGCAAATTTGAATTTTTATTAAATAATATAATATATATTAATTATGTATAATTACACTATTAATATACCTTTTTATTTAATATTTATAATCTGATTTATGTAAAGTGCATATATAAATTATAACATAACGTTCTAATTTTAAATATTATTGCTTAATGCGAATCATTATTTTATTAAATATATTTTTGTTATAATATTAGTATTTTAGTTTTTAAAATTTGATTTTTATTAAATTAAATTTATTATCGCTTGATTTCTTATAATTTCATTTGTTTCATATATTTTTATAATATTATTTATTGAAATTTAAATTATAGAAATATATATTTATTTTATGTATTGTAACTAGATTTTTCTATATTTTTAAAGTTATTTGTATTTATTACTAAAATCGTATAATATTATATTTTTTTTATAAAATAATATATTATAATTGTAATTAAAAATTAAATATAATTAATTAAAAACTGTTTGTGACTTAATTTATTGTATATTATATGTAGGTATGTATTAGCATATAAATTGATATAAGCATATCTTCCTCAATGAATCAAGATTTGCAAGTGGTACGCACTTTTCCCACGATAAATGTTTTACAAAGAGGTGCATAATTTTAAAAGACGGCTTTCTATTTTTCACATACAATCTGCTACGGCATTTATGACACTTGATTGATTTTGCGCTATATACATGCCATTATTTTATTCAATTAAATTGTTTTTTTTCTTCATTTTATATCATACGATGTCTTCAACTTAGAAAACTACACCTAATTCGGAGATAAAAATAATAAAAATAACCACCTTGAGCAATATTAAGCAGTTAAAGACAGCATTGTAACGAGTTTTTAATGAGCAGACTACATGTATAAATTACACGTTAAAGTGACAGAATCGAGTATTAAGAACGAGGGAAGCATGAAGAGACTTAAATAACGAGCAAATACCAAATAAAATATTGTTTTAAGTTATAGCAACATATTATTCCAATCACCTTTTTAGAGATATAAAATTAATAACAAAATCGATGAAAACGAAATAATTTCGAATATGAAAAATAACAGGCAACCTTTTAAGTCGATCTGTAGTTCAATTAAAAAGTCGTAATGAAAATAGAAAAACCAACAAATAAAATTCTTAGATGACCAAAATCTGTGGGTCAATTTTTGTAAGATAGGTTACAAAATATACCAATCGTGGTTTAAGTCGCGTTGTGTAACTGGTGTGTTCTGTGATAGAAAGATTTTTACACAACTCAAAACAAAACAGAGAAAGCAAAAAGAGAGAGCAAAAGAAAGAGTGTGTGTGCGAAAGAGTGAATAAAAAAGTTCGTAAGAGAAATAGAGAGTGTGAGTGAAGGAGCGTGTGTGCGAGAGAGAGAGAAAGTGACCGAAAGAGCGTGAGTGAGAAAAAGTGCGTTTGACCGATAGAGCGTGTGTGTGAGAGGGAAGTAGAGAGACAGAAAAAAAGAGGGAAAGAGAGAGACGAAGAGAGAGATAAAGAGAGAGAGAAAGAAAGAGAGAGAGAGAAAGAGAGAGAGAGAGAGAAAGAGAGAGAGAGAGAGAAAGAGAGAGAGAGAGAGAAAGAGAGAGAGAGAAAGAGAGACAGAGAACTGAAAGAGAGAAAGAGAGAGAGAAAGAGAGAGAGAAAGAGAGAGAACGAGAGAAAGAAAACAGAGAGAAAGAGAGAGAGAAAAGAGAGAGAAAAGAGAGAGAAATAGAGAGGAAGAGAGAGAGGAAAGAGAGAGAGAAATAGAAAGGAAGAGAAAGAGAGAAAAGAGAAAGAGAGCGAAAGAGAGAGAGAGAGAGAGAGAGAGAGAGAGAGAGAGAGAGAGAGAGAGAGAGAGATAAAGAGAGAGAGAGATAAAGAGAGAGAGAGAGAGAGATAAAGAGAGAGATATAAAGAGACAAAGAGAGAGAGATAAAGAGACAAAGAGAGAGAGAGAAAGAGAGAGAGAGAGAAAGAGAGAGAGAGAAAGAGAGAGAAAGAGAGAGAAAGAGAGAGAAAGAGAGAGAAAGAGAGAGAGAAAGAGAGAGAGATAAAGAGAGAGAGAGTGAAAATGTGACAGAAAGTGAGAGTGTGAGTGAGAGCGTGTGTGAGAACGAGAAAGAATGTAAAAGTGATTAGAGGGAGCTATATTTTTATATGATTTTATTTTAAGATCATTGCTTTTATTGAGATCATTATAAAATTTTTAAACTATATCTTTCAAAAAAGAATCGCTACAATCCATACTGTAACACGTATGTGGAATTAAATACTATAAATTAGTAATTTTTTTTTGTTTGTTCTTGTGGTATTAATAAATTAATTAGAAACATAATATATATATCTCTATATTTATATATTTCATTTTGTTTAATATATCTAAAATAATATTACTATGCTATTGAAAGTATAAATTTTGTCAGTAATAAAAATCAGATTAAATATGTGTTCAGAAACATAACAAAATTAACTGCCTTACTATGTTATACGTCCCTCGTATTTCATGTTTTTTTAATGCAAAAATGCCGCAACTCATGTATGCTTTTGTGACGTGTTGCAAATTAGTTATTTTAAAATAAAAGAAAATTCAAATAAATAATTGATACATAACAGTTACACAACTAACGCCTCTCAAGAGTTTTCAATGTGTATTTACTGATTAATTTATCTACAGATACGCATTTTACGCAAGTCATAAAATAAATTGCCTGCGATTTTAGTTGTTCAAAAGCAATGCGGAGCAGATATGCAAAAAAACCCATCCAGTTTTATGAATAAAGTGCAATTATTTGCGAATATGAATAATATTTTTACATGCAGCATATTTACGAATTGATATTGCACTGACTGCATTTAACAGTCCGAAAAACAAAAACCTACACACAAAAACGAGACTGCTGCAATCGAAAAGATACAAAACATTAAATAAATGCTGCTAACAAAAAATGTATCTAAAACAATTCCAATTCCAAATGCAAATGCAAATGCAAATGTATTTGTATTTGTATTCGTATTTTCAAATATTAAAAATGCATGCACGTTTTTATGCTTGCTTATCTGCACAAATGCGAGTGCAGATATATTTTTCGCCTACAGCGCTGCTAACAATTGTTGTGAAAAGGACGCGCTACTCAGTCAACGTATCTACATACATAATAAACGACCCGATACTAAAGTATCTAAAAGTGTTCTGGAAGGTGGCAAAGGCTACACTTGCCCATATGTAAAGTACCAACACACTCTTGCTTGTGTGTTATATATATATTCAGATAATATTATATGTATTTGTATACAAATGCACGCAGTAGTCATACCTTAACGAACATGTGGAAATATTATTTGTGGAGGATATGCAAAAGTATAGAGGAGTGAACTGAATTGTTTATATGTTTCAGATTGGAATACTGAAAATACTGAAAATTCTGAACATAAATTATTATCAAAATGTGGAAGAAAAAACCTATATGAGAATGCGAAAAATAAAAAATTGAAACAGTTGAATAATAACAGGAATAAAGAGAAAAATAGTAATGCGGCACAAGAAAATCACAAACAGGACTAAATTTTTGAACTGCGAACCGATACGAATTTTACTAAACCGAACACAACAGAACAGAACCACCGACCGCCGACGAACACTTAAAAGGCACAATATATATGAGCATAAATGAGCGCAGGAATGAGCAAGCAAATTTGGCGCGTTTACGCCGCAGGCAACAGAACGAGATGGAACTGGAGCTATGTTGAACTGAACAGAACTAAACTGAACT